ATGAGCAAAAATACACGGAAAGCCAATGTTGTAGATTTCCATTATAAAAATTTGAGTGTTCCACAAATTTAATCTTGTCTTTCAAACTATACCATTGATAAATATAATAAAATACATAAATGAAAGCACTATTCTTGAACCTAAGTTGTAAAATCAATCACATACAATGGAGCTTCTCTACAGGATCAGAGGATGTGAAAATGCTTCATAAATTGTAATTACATAATGTATTTACAATAACAGTTACCATATAAACTTCTACTATAAGCCAGACAGAAAGTCTAAGCCTTTACTTACTACCCCAAGGTACACACGATCATTATCCCCATCATATAGATGGAGACACTGAGGTATAACACAAGTTTCCTAGAAAATGGAGCCTGAGCTGAAGGTTACAGCCTTAAGGCTACAGCATACATCAGAAGTCACACAGAAGTTTGTATCTTGCCCAAGATGATACCACTAGGAAGTAGTCAGTCCATGATGTGAACACAGAACCTACATTCTTAACCACTGCATTAGCATCTCTAATCATGATCACTTCATACATTGCACTTGTCCCTAAAAAAGACACCAAACATGACAGGGAGGTTTTATTCCCACCCAGATCAATATGGTATAAATAAATCAGGCTGTTGAAAGAATTCCCAAGCTTTGAAAGGAGAGTTTTCTTTTGATGCCCCAAATTGTGACTACTCATAACTTAAAACTAGTTCTGCCTACACAGCATGCTGGCACCAAGGAGGGACATCCCTGTTAGGTAGGTTTTGTTCTGGTAGCTGCACCTCTCTAGGTCATAGCCCATCATGTGGCTTCCCACAGCTAGAGATTGTCTTCTATCAACTAGAATCTACTCATAAATCTCACATGCTTTCATGTGTTTAACAGATAGACAGGTGGAAGGGGAGCAGGAGAGGGAAGAGTGGGGAAGAGGAGCAGAAACGGAGGGGGATGGGATGCATTAAATCCCACAGAAAATAGAATATTCAAAGCAGATGAGAGTAAAAAGATTAGGATGGGATCAGGAGTCTCCAAGGAGGAAGGGATGTGATTTAAGGTAGTAAGGGGAGCAAGTGTAGGATGGTAGGACAGAAGGGAAACAGGTGGTTAGTCTCTCTGAAAATTAGGTGCCTCCACCCTTTTGTTTGTCTTCTAGGGCTACCATAATAAAATATTATAGACTGGGAGGCCCAAATCACAGAAATTTATTTTCTTGCAGTTTGAGAGGCAGAAATCCCACATCAAGGTGTGCTTTCTTTCTCCTGAGGCCTCTCTCCCTGGCTTGTAGATGGCCAGTTTCTTGCCATGTCCTCACCTGGCCTTTCCCTGTGCATGTGCATCCCTGGTGTCTCTTCCTCTTCTTCTGAGGACATCAATCCTACTGAATTAGGGCCCCAACCTATGACCTGGTTTAACCTTAATTACCTCCCTAAAGGCCCTATCTCCAAATACAGTCACATTAGAGGTTAGCGCTCCAACATATGAATTTTAGGGAGACAATTCAGTCCTTAAAAAGAAAAAATGTTTTGGCCCTACAAGAAGCACAAGTACACAGCAGGAGAATAAATCAGGGTACAGTGCAAAGTCTCTGCCTACCTATTTCTTCCTCTCATTATTTTTAAAACTAACGTAACTTCTCTATAATGTAAGAATGTTGTGTTATAGAGGAGTTGGAACTGAAAAACTCAGTAGAAATATCTCCAAAGGACTTGTGGAGAAGGGACTTCCCATCACCCCCTTTTTGGCCATCTGTACAATTCTGAAATGAAATTGATAAATCATATAACTTACATATATTACAATTTCAGAAAATGGATATACTACCCTAACTATAATACAAAGGATAAATAAAAATAATTTATAATAAAATAATTTGCACTTCAATATGTAAATGCTTGTGCAGGACTAAAGTAGTAGAAAACATAATGAAATAGTCTAATGTAGGCATTCACCCAAACTGAATGTTTGCATTTGAGAAGATAAGATCAGAAGCCACTCTGTATAAGTACAAGAAAATGAAAGAAGAGGAGTGCTGGTAGATACTAAAATTTATTATGATATACACTAACTTGTGGCAACTTCATATCTGGAGACAATAACCAGGAAAAAGGAGGACCCTACCTGGAAAATCAAGACATTTGAAAGGTGACTGGGAAACAAGGTGATTTTGGTGATATAGGGCAATTCTAGACATTACAGGACATCCTATATCCTTGGGCTCTGCCCACTACATGCTAGCAATGCTCTGCAATAATGCCCCCAGTAAGAACCAAAGTCTTTGCCCAGAAATAAGCTATCCTCTTGAATTTTGGTGTGTATCTACTTCGACCATCATAGAAATTAGATTCACTAGCAAGATTTCAGAAGTCTCTTTTTCTGAAGGGTGTTGGTTGTTATGACTAAGTTTTTACAACAAATACAATCTGAAAAGCCAGTGATTATGTGTTAGCTACCACGTGGTCATTTATAAATCTGAAACTCTCAGGTGAATAGTCTCATCCATTTATTAAATTGTAAAACATAAAGCTTCTGCCCCAGAAATGCAGGGTTTGCATATTCTGCTTCAAAAAAGTGGGTAACTCCAAGTCATCCCTATCATTAGATCCCTTGCAACTCAGACCTTTTATGTTAAGATTCTAGAAAGTTCAGAATATTAGAAGCAGAATTCTCATGTGGGAGAAATCTAAGAATGGGAAAGAAAACAAATATATTGGGCCACAGTTATGCAGCAGCCTCTAAATAGTTTGGTTTACATATACTACCTAATTTAATCATCACTATAACCCTATAATGTGAGCACTATTATCATTCATCCTACAGATGAAGAACCTGAAGCTTAGCAGGGTTAAGTAACTTGTCCAAGTAAAATAGTTTTTGGCAGAGCCAAGTTCTAGGTTCCCACCCAGGTTAGACTCCAGAGCCAACATTAACACCAACCATCACATTGTCACCAAGAAATCAAAGAGAAGAGAGGATGACTTTTTTTGTGTTCCATCTCTGGACTTTCACGTTCACTAACATCACCCTTGCAACCCAGAGAGTGGGAGACACTGTCATCACCACATTACAGAAAAGCAAACAAGCCCAGAGAGGTAAGCATTTGACTGGGGTCACATAGCAAAAGGTGCGTGAGTGATTTAAAAAGCACATCATGTGCTTTTTACGACATCAATATATTAGGATTTGCCAGACAAACAGAAGCAATAGGATAATAATATAGATATATATTAATAAAAGAGGAGATTTATTGTGGGAATTGGCCCACACAATTATGGAGTCTAAGAAGTCCTATGATATGCCATCTGCAAACTGAAGAACCAGGAAAGTCAGTGATGTAACTCCATCTGAGTCCAAACGCGTAAGAACTAGGGGAGCCAATGGTGTAACTCTCAGCCCAAGGCCAAAGGCCTGAGAATCAGAGGTGGGGGAGTGGGGAGTTGGGAACTGATGTTGGCCACTGGCGTAAGTCCTGGAGTGCAAAGGCCTGAGACCCAGGAGCTCTCATGTCCCAGGGCAAGAGAAGATGGATGTCCCATCCCGGCTCCAGAAGAGAGAGTAAATTTGCCCACCCTCCACCTTTTTGTTCTATTCAGGCTCTCAATGGACTAGATAATGCCTCCCCACATTTACTTCTTTACTCAGTCTGCAGATTCAAGTGCTAATCTATTCCAGAAACACCCTCACACACACCCAGAAATAATGTTTTACCAGCTATCAGGGCATCTCTTAACCCAGGCAAGTTGACACCTAAAATTAACCTTCATAATCATGCTGCTATCTTTCCAGAAAGGAGAAGAGTCATACCCATGGTCAATAACTAGAAAAGTTCTTGGGCCCTCACCTAAACCTACAAGAGAGAGTTTAGAACAAAGAGGTACAGTTGTTTCTTAGAAAATTTGTTAGATGATCTAAGATAACAGAACCATTTTACTATTCTCAAATAAAAAGATCTCTGTTTGCACAAGACTATCATTTTTAACAAGCTTTTTGGCTCAGACAGTCATTTGGTTCACCTTTGAGTAATATCCTGATGTTAAATGGTAAGGAAAGGGGCAAGATTTTCAAGCCGTGCATGGAAAGCTTGAGTCACATCGTTCCCTTTGTCAGGATCTGAATGGTCTTGATTTGCCTGCAGTTTCTTGTAGCCTTTTTACAGTGTAAAGAATCTGATTTTTAGTGAATTTCTGATTATTAAGTCATCTGGTGTTTATCACAACCTTGTGATCCACAGACTCTGTGAAGGCCACATGGCTAATACAAAAGACACGTGCCTTGTTACATGACTTCCTAGCCAAGGTGATGCCAGGGGGACAAGATATGAAAGTTAAAGAGACTAGAACTCTCCTACAGTTCTGATAAGAACATAAATGGATATGATCACCTTGGAAAAACTGTTTTATGATCCAGAATTTCTATTCCTGGGTATATCTCCAACAAAAATGAGTGGTTTTGAACACTAAAAGACTTGTATAAGAATATCACCAGCAGCTTTATTGTAGAAGCCCAATACTAGAAACAACCAAAATGTTCAACAGAATATGACACAGTAATAAAGAAAAAACTACTCAACAACATGGATAAATATCATGGATATAATGTGCTTCCCTATCATGGCAGTAACCCACTCAAGGATCTGCAAGAGCTTCAAGTTGTCTTTCCACTGAGATATAAACATGCCTTCACTGCCCCAGTCCCAAGGAATCAAAATTCATCTCTTGTTCCACCCCATGAAGGCCTCTCCCTTCCAGCCAGGGAAATATCTCCCAAGCTAATCCTGTTAACTTTCATTCTTTGGAATCAAGTAGACATGGATTTTATTATCAACTCCAATACTTACTGTTTGTGTGACCACAGTCTTAAGTTCCTCCTCTAAAATACAGATAAAACTTCCTACCACATTGTAAATTAATAGAGAAGATTAAATTTTTTAAGAGGCATGGTGAAGCACTTAGCACAGTGGCAGGCTCCTATTATCACCCAACAATAAGCAGTTTTCTTACCTACTTGGCTTTTCCATTCACATCTCTTCTCAGCCATCTTCCAGCCTGGAATTACCACTTCCACCAACTACTCCATAAACTCTCCTCTAAGAAACATGCCCTGGCAAAGCCAACCCTGTCCTCATTTTGATTTCCACATAATTTGCATTATCTATAGTCTGAACTAACCACAAAAACAGACCCTTATCTCTGAATACTTCCTTTATCACATCATTCCTTTGGCCCCAGCCCAGAACCCAGAAATGTACACACAGTGAAATCTCAATTATTGCTTGGAGGATTTTAATTGGTTGGTATGGGAAGAACGGGTGAAAATGCTGCAGGAAGGTAACAACTACCTGTTAGACGAACTTAAAAAGAAATATTTAGACATTTTAATAAATGACCTACACTTTGGTAACTATTAGTCATGCTTGCCCAAGCAACTCAAGAGTAAAGAAAATATCCTTTTTACTAAATTACAAGAGTAAAGAACTATTAGGATAATTATCCTATAACAAATGCCAGAAATAAGTGCCTATATTGGCTTAATTTTATAGACACTTTCCAAAGTATATACTCTAGTCTTGCAAATAAATAAATAAATAAATAGGAAAAGGGAAAAAAAGGTATTACTATTGCTCAGATTTTACTAAGCCATGAACCCCTGGGAAGAAAGCCCTAGGTTTATCCTATAATGGCAACTGGCCACTTTTTCTGTGGACATAAAAGAAATTCAATTTCTCTGGACACTTTTTTCCTCTGCTACCAGTGAGCTCCAGGGACTGGTAAACTCCTAAAGGAAAACCATAAAAAAACCATAATCCAGAGAAAACAAAATCCAGCTAGTTAAACTATCACCAATAAGAAGCATAAACAGGAACCATTTTCAATTGCTTGGAATCAAAAGCTCAATTTTTAAAAGCTTCAAAACAAGAGTTTACTGTTTCCCGGACATCTGCAAGTTGAAAAAACACAAAAACAGTTCTGGAAAGTGCTGTGGTTTACTTCATACTGAGTGGTTCCCAGGTGCAGAGGGAAATACTGCGGCAGAATAAAAAATGAAATGAGCATGAACCAAAAGTTTTTCAGAGCCATATTTATATGCACCTTTCTCCAGGCTGATTGGTAACTCTTCCCGTATAAATGTGGCATGTGGCATTATGTGCTGATTGCTTGATAATAGTCTTATCCTGGGGACAATTTTACGCAGATTTCCCTCTAACAAATTGCATGCAGGTTTCTAGCTCTGGAGATACTTGGGGAAGGGCCTGGCTTAATATAATCTGTCATTGTCCCCATGTCTGGAGCAGCAGGCAGATTAAGAGCCTTTAAGATGGTGAGCGCCACAGCTTTAGAAGCAGAACTGCCAACCAGCTGTGTATGCGCCTCAGACTGTGGAATAAGCAATAAAAAGAAAAAAGTGAGAAGAGAATTGCCAACTTCTTGCAACATGGAGCCAGAACTGCAAAAGCCAAGCTGGTCATTTTTCCACACAGCCAGGCCCAAGGTTGGCGTCTGACATCAGTGTGGAGAATGACATCAGAGAGTCTCCAGTCACCTGCCTGGCTTGCTCAAGAAATGCCCTGGGAGCCCACAAAGATGCAAGGGAGGAGGGTGGAGGAAACTGATGTCGGTCAAAAGGCCCTTACTCTTTGTTAAACAGACTACTATTCTGACCAACCTATTAGAGCTAGTTTTGCAGAATAAGATTGGGAGGATAGTTATATTTTGGAATTGAGAAGGGAAAATAAGAATAGCAAACTCAGGTGTAGGCTCCATTGCAAGCAAGAAAAAATTGACTTTGGTGTTATGGACTAAAAGTTTGTGCCCCACCCCACCCCAAATTTACCTGTTGAAGCCCTAACCCCCAGTGTGGCTTGTATTTAGAGTAAGGAAGTAATTAAGGTTAAATGAGGTCATAAGTGAGGGACCCTGATCCAATAGGACATTAGCGTCCTTATGAGAAGAGACACCAGATAACTTGTACACACACACACATGCCCACTCTCGTGCTTTCTCTCTCTCTCTCTCTCTCTCTACACACACACACACACACACACACACACACACAGAGTTTCCTGTGAACATGTGAAGCCAAAGTGGCCATCTGCAAGCTAGGAAGAAAGTACTCACAAGAAACCAACTCCTGCCAGAACCTTGTTCTTGGACTTCCAGCCTTCAGAACTGTGAGAAAATAAATTTCTGTTGTTTAAGCCATGCAGTCTGCAGTAGTTACTTACAGCAGCCTGAGCAGCTTGGCCAACTCCAGCCAAGTGAAATGAGAGGCTCAAGGAACTGACCAGAAGCTAGAGAACCAGCCTAGAATCAGGCAAGATCCAAGCCAGCTCTCCTGAATCAGGAATCAGGAACTGAGCACTGGTCAGGACAGCGAAATTGAAATAAGGAAATTCCAATTGTTTCTCCCATTTTTTTTTATTACTCACTTAAAATTCAAAGTCCCAGGAGGATGTGACTGATTCCTAAGCTTAGGCAATGTGTCACCCTTTACCCCAGCCCCACCTCCAGCTATAGCAGGATAGGGAGAGAAACAATCTTGTCCTTTTCACTTCTATAACGGCTTGATAACATGTGGATTATGCCAAGATATCACAGTGGGAAAGGCCTTACTTAAAAAAAAAAAGAAAAGAAGAGAAGTTTCTAGGAAGGACAAATGGATGCTGGGTAGTGTAAACATTTTAAATGTCCACTACACTAAATATCATTACGAATCCCTGATGGGCTCATCACTCCCCTGATATGCACACTGCATGTCTACAGGGTAGATTTCTATGGCTATAGATTGAGGAACAGTGAATCCTAGAGGAGACCTGCCCACAGGGAGAGCTACACAGCTAGACTTCTCCTCTGAGCTCCAGACATACACAGCACCTGTCTCTGTAGCTAACATTCTGATGTCAGGACTACAGGATATTTAAAAGTCCTTGATTAAAATTTTGAAGCTAAAGAGAAATATTATTAAATACTACTATATACTGTCATTCACTCATCAGTTCCACCATATTCAAGTACCTTCTGATTGTCCAATTAATATTTATTGAACAACTACTGTGTATCATGTTTTTTGCAAGGAGTTTTATCTATGCTAGCTTATGTACACTATAAAATAGCCCATGAAGTCTAAAGGTCAACAGTGATGTAAAAGAACAGTAAAAAAATAGTAGTAGTATAGTTCTCATCCTCCATGACTTTGGGAAACAGTAAAAACTATAAACTGTAGTTCACTTCAGGCCTTACCTTATTTGACTCCTTAGTTGCCTTTGCACTGCTGACTGGTCTACCTTTCTTCAAACTTCCTCTTCTTTGATGTCCTGGAAACTCTCCTCTCTTGGTTCTCTTCTTACTTTCTGGTCTCTCTTTTCCCTTCACCCATACTTAACAAAGATGATCCCTGAGGTCCGTCCTTAGCTTTTCTCTTATTCTTCCACATGTTCTGACAATTTCATCCATACCTGTGGCTTCAAATACATACCAACCACATACCACCATCTTTCTCTCTAATGGTAGTGCCTTCCCCAAGTTCCATATATCAACCAAGATCCATATATCAACCACCAACTAGCTAACATGTTCCTACATGCCTCAACAGCCACAGGTTCAAAACTGAACTCAGTGGACCCCAATCCACAAGCCTATGCTTCCCCTGGAAGTCATCAAAGCATCTCCCCTCACATCACTGGTCTTCAGGTTCTACCATTCCACCTCCAAAGTGTCTCACAAGTCCAGCCCACTGTAACATATCAGCATAAAGCACCCGACCTCTCTCCTGACTGCCTCTCTCCTGACTGCCTTTGCCTCCCTGCCTACCCATTCCAAATACCAGAGGAATATTTCTCACATATTTAATTATGACCCCCACCCCAACAGCTCAATACTCATATGTAGTCAAATGCTGATGGGATAAAACCTGAACTCCTTTCACATGGCAAACTAGACCATTGTATCTGCCCTCATCAGAGTTGGCACCATGCTGAACTGTGCTGTAGATGCCTGGCAGTGCCCATTTCCTCCTCCTCTGCACAATGCCTCAACATACAGGCTCAAGAACCACTAAGTACCTATGTCAATGAACAAATACCTCCCATTTCCTCACAAACTTTCTCCCTTTATACACTATTTCATCATTTAACTGTCTATACCTTTAATAGTAATACCATTCTAAAATAACAGTGAAGATATTTTCCATTTTCTTATACCTTAATTTTAAATCAATAAAACCTCACGAGTGAGCATCTAATTCAGTGGTTCTCAACCTTGGGTATGCATTAAGAATCACCTGAAGAGATTTTATTTTTTTAGAAAAGGTGGCTCCCATCTAGATCAATGGAATCCAAATTCAGCCTTTATGTTTACTGTGGCCATGGGAGGGCTTTCATTGGAAAAAGAAAAAAGACCCAACATTCATTAAAGAGACTGACATCATGTTCAATGCATAAAATTTTATACATGGCATCTTCTTTACTTTTTCAAACAGTTCATGAAGTAGAATCCACTCTTTACTTATGAGGCACCTGAAACTCAAATTAATGTACTAATGGAGTCACTCAACTAGTATGAGGTGGGTCTAGGACTCTAATCCAAAGCTGTTTCCAAAGAACATGTGCTTTCCTCTGTCTAAGCCTCCACAAAGGCAGTGCAAAACATGTCAGGGGAAGGAGGGAAGGGAAGAAAGAATAACACTTAATGGACATTGGCTTTGAGCATGGGGAACAACCCACAGTCCCCATGAGTGTGGTAGGAATGAACCATCAATCTGAACATACTGGTTTGAAGTTTTAAATGTGACCATTTGGCAAAACCCTAAGTGATAATTTTTCTAGGCAAAAATTGTATATAGATGCCAAAATTTAAAAATGAATGAGAAAAGGACATTTACATAATCTCAAAGTATATCTCCGCAAAATGCTTATTTACAAAGGGGAAAGTGTAACTTTATAGTGTAGAAGCCTGGCAGACCCCACCTTAATCAAGTGGGTCAAGTTAATATCATTAGTAATGAGAAAAACTGATATCATACACCTCCTCATTGAATGTGCTGAGAAGGCCACAGCATCATGTCTATGGTTTTCTTGCCAAAAATGCACAACTTTAATTATGAGGAAACATCAGACAAACCCAAATGGAGGGACAATCTATAAAATAATTAGCCAATCCTCTTCAATAGAATCAAGATCACAGAAGACAAAGGCCAAGAAGACAAAGGCCAATCTGTCCCAGACTAAAGAAAAATAAGCAGATACAACTAAATGCAATGTGTGGTCCTAAATTGGATAGGGGACCAAAAAAAAGGACATTATTAGTTGGATAGTTTGTGAAATTTGGGTAA